CCACTTTTTAGAAAATTCCCTTTTGCTGTATTGCATGAGGTCCTGTAATGTCTGCAAGAACACCAGTCCTGAACCAGTATTGGCTGCTCAATGGGGTTACAGGCAGTGATGAGTTATTTATTTGGTTAGAGAGGTTGGGGGACACAATACCAGAGTTAGACCAAAAGGACTGACCTTTTTTTTGTGGTATTTGTAAATGGAAGAAATGGAAAAGAAAGATCTTTTAAGTCAATTCAATCCCTGAAGGGTTTTTTATAGGAGACTCACAGTAACGGAAGCATTGCTTACTGTACGTGGGTCATTTGGAAGTGAGACATTCCCCTTAAAGTCAAGAGGTCTGTTTTGTCCCCTCTGGTGGTACAGGAGGATCTGCCACCCACCCAGCCTCGGGTGGGTGACCAGTAAGAACAGTTACACATCCTTGGCCGCACAGAGCTTTTCTCTCTAAGGGAGCCTGTGCAACAAGGAACGAGGTTTGTTCACAAAGGGCTATACACCTTTATTCCAGTCCTTCACCTTTTTTAGTTCTGTTTCATGGGGAAGGGCTCCAAAGGCCAGAGAGGTGTTTCCCCTCTGCGTCATAAGCTCTACCAGGCCCCAGTCCAGAGCAGGTTGTACCCCTTGTGCAAGTCCCAGCCGTGGACTGGAGCTGTTCAGCTCTTTCTCAGCCTGCACCGGTGCCAGCCGTGCTCAGGGGCCAAGTAATGCCCCTTTGTAGGAAGCTCACAGCAGGACAAGTGCTGAGGTGCTGAAGTCCTCTCCTGAGACTGGGCAAGCTCCAAGCACCCTTTGGAGGGCAATCCCAGGAAACAGCACCTCTTGTTCCAGCCCAGCATCTTTCCCTCTTCCAGGAAGCAGAAGGCCCTGTTCTCTGACTCCCACTAGCACCTACCAGCACAGTCCTGCCTGCATCAGCAGCGTTACTCCAGTTTACACGACGTAGGTGAGAGGAGTCCCGCTAAGGTGGTCTTCACCTGTAAGATCTAGGCCTATAAAGGCTCAAGAAGCCCAAGGCCAAGGTTTGCCTCGCAGCCAGGTGCTCAGCACACAGTGTGCAGTCCACGCTTCCAGCCCTGCGCTCGCCACCATTCCCAAATCTTCCCTTAGAAGGGATTCAGGAAAGATTTTATGTCTGGTAGTGGTAAGAGGAGACTACGGCCACGCGAGCTGGGACATTGCAGGCCTCTGAGCACCGTAACCCTTGCTGCTCCCTTCCCTTGTATACATTGCTCTCAGATTTGACTCGCTGCTATGAGGTTCTTCTAATGCTCAGAGTTAATGTTGTCATTGCTGAGCACATTATAGACAGATCCTAGATACACAGACTGACACTTTAAATGACAGAACACAGCTGCCCTGGAGAGGTTTACTTTTTCTGCCAATATGGTGTTACTCAATGTCTTTATTTTTTCCTTTTTAACCATACGTCATTTGTTTTGATATTGTGAGATCTGTACTTTTTTTTCTTTTAAGTATTTTTCAAACTTATATATATTTTTGTGTCACTTTTGAATTGTTTTCATATGGTTTGCAAAACTTGACGAATTATACTTTTTTTGCAGTCGTTTGATTGAAATGTATTTCTCTCTCTCTCTCTCTCTTATTCCTGTTCCCTAAGAATTTGTGCCCCTATGAGCTCTGAGACAGGGAAGCTTATTTCAAGATCTGTTTTCTGTATAACATTTGCTAATTTTCCTTCTAGATGCAAAACTAAGGCTGAAAATGCTGCCAGCCAGCCCCGGTGCATCAGGGGAGTCAGGCTTTGCTGATTCCATTCTCCATTTAGCGCTGCTGTCCTTTACAAGTTGTTTCTCGTCACAGTGCCACCCACTAGGCTTCCTTCCTTCCTAATGCCCATATAGTGAAAGCTCCTACTGCTAAAATCTTGAATCATGTGACAGAGCACTCAAAATTCTGACTGTGTTGGCAAGGTGGGAGCGGAGCAGAAGGGGCCACATCTCAGATGTGAGAGGTGTCAGAAACCCACGTCCCCAGAGCGCAGCTGCCACGCTGGGGAGGCAGCTGGAGCTCAGCAGCTCCCGTCTCAGCTCGAGCAGAGCTCAGCCTTGCACTGTAATCAGAGACAAACAATTGGGCTTTAGCTGAGGTTTGGGCACAACTGCATCGAGGTTAATGAACAGCGATGGCTTGGTTCTGTCCGCCTCACGACCCCAGAGGTTTAGGTTTTTCAAACCAGTGCCCCTGTAAGTTCAGCTGTTGTTGAACTGTCACCTGCTGCCAGCGGGGCCACAGCATCCCAAACTAACACGATCTGAGCTGCACTGAACCTTTGTTTCATACTGTAAATGTAACCTCTGTCCTCACTGTTCACATACCCTTATCAAGCTCCACCTGAGCCTGAACCAGGCTAAAAAGATTCCAAATTCCCAGGAACACAGTGATAAACAGAGTCAGGCCAGCCTGCCAGAAGAGCTTAGCTTACCAAAATCTGTCACTGATCCCAGGGGCAAGGGGGAACTATAACAGGTCTGTTACAGCTAACTCCATGTAAGAGTTTGAGTCAGGCCACCAGCAAGGTAAATCCCTGAGACAGCCTTTTAAAAGAAAGAGCATCCCTGTTAAAGTAACATGAACTTTGGCTACAAACTTCAATGTCTTCAAGCCAACAAACTTTATGAGCTGAAATTTACTTTCAGTAAGGAGCAAAAGAGAGGAAGGTATCCTCTGAACACCTGAGTGTAATCCAGAAATTCCTGGAGTTGGGAGTTTGAAACTAGGCTGTACCTCAGATTCCCTAACTGAAACAACCAGAGTTGTTGCACCCCAGGCAGAGTGCATGTACTGTGGCCTGAAAGCAGCTTTTGGAGGCAAAGAGGAGTTAACCAATTGCTGCCATAGACCCAGCACTCGGGTCAGAACAGCGTAGTTGTCTGCTGCCATCATACCAATATTCTGGAAAGGATGGGAGGGCAAAGTAGCTGATTTTTTATGAAGGTCTAACGTAAAAGGGGAAGTTGGATACCCTGAAATGCTTGGTTGTTACAGAGAAGCATTTCAGGCCTTTCAGCTTTGCTGGAGCAAAGGAACAAACCACGAGACTTCAACTTCCCACAGAATTACAGAGCAAACGACTAACTGTGCCCAGAAAACTAGAACAGGGTTCTATCTGTCAAATGAAAATCCAGCTGGAGAGAAGTTGATAGTGTGTAAACATATGGTAGAGGGGCTCCTTGGGCTCTGGAGCTGTTGTCCCATTCAGACTGTTATTCAAGTTTTCACAACTACATTTCTTTTAATATTCAAAAGCTTGGCAAGCAGAGCACGAACACAACTCAGTAGTAGTCTGCAGGCTGTGCCAACAAAGGAACCCTCTACCTTTAGACTGTATGCAGCTTCCTTCCTGGCTGGAGGAGGCGTTGCCAGTCAGTGGCCCAAGTCAGTGATACATGCAGGGTGCCAGGTGTCTGCCATTTTCTCTGGAATAGATAAGAGAGCAAATTGGTGGGCAACTTACCACAAGTGCTTCCATTTTACAAGGTCTGTGGGAGGAACTGCTTATACAGATTGGCATCTACTTGTGTGATGCTTAACACCCAGCAGCACCAGACTTTCTCATCTAGATCAAGCCAAGAAAGTTTAGCACTGATATTTGTGGCAATTAGTAACATTGCAGATAATTCATCTGCCCCATCTACACGATGGCTGCTGTTAACCTACACCTACCTACTGGCTGAAATGATTATCTGCTCAGCACTGAATCCTACCCAGCTCATCACCTTGGTTGGGCTGCAGTCACTCTGGTCTCTGCACAAGATGAGTGGGAAGAAAAGTCTTGGAGCTGTGAGCCTGTTCCCCTCTCATCACTTGAAGAAGGCAATTAATTACCAGTAGAGCAAGAGCTACAGGGGCACTGCATTCAGGCACTACACAGAAAAGATGTTTTCTTGAGACTGTTTAGGGAGGAGCCTGCTACAGCTCAGGTGTTAGAGGGTAACTTGTGCTGGAAAAAGAGAATTAAAAGTAGGGAAACAGCTGGTCTCCAAGACAACCGTGCGTATGAAGCACAGAGGGTAATGGTGGTCAGGAATGGATGAAAGCAACATGGGGGCTGGATGAGAAGACAGCACTTAGAAAAAGGAATGAGGGAGATTTGCTGCTGAACTGAAACACTTCTGCTCTAGCAGACTATATTTTGATTTCATACAATTGTCACTGATTCTCTCTGTAATTCTTTTCTTGTCTAAAAAAAGTTTTTAAGCTAACCAAATATGTATTTCCTTGTTTTGCTTAACGAAAATAACCTCAGTTATAATGAGCAAGCGTCTGCTTTTACTCTGTCCGTTGACCTGCCTAATGTTGAGAGGCCTGGTTCAAATGTTTGTACATGGTGAAACCAAGCAAAAAAAAAAAAAAATGCACAACTGTTGCTTCCTTACAATTCTGAATGAATTAACTTTTCTGTTGTATCCATTGGATACCCGCTGTGTATTAAACCTAGTGCTTAACAATGTCTTCTTCCTTTGGTCTGTGAATGTGGTTTATTTAGGTACATTACTAGTCTATTTGCTGTCATACATTTCATTAAAAATGAAAGGAACTGCCATATGTTGATGATGCAGTTCAGTGGCTTTTCCTTTCATCACTCTGAGGGATACAATAGCGTTTGTCAATAGAAAAGAGGCGTGGAGGAAGAGCGTATTGTTATGAAATTATGTGAGAAGAGAAAAAAAAAATCAGAACAATATTTGACTGTACAGATTGCATCTGAACTCTGTAACGGATCTGCGGCTTGCATTCCACAGCCTAAGCTTTGTAAGTGGGCAGAAGCTGAGTACTGAAGAAAAGACTTCAGCTTAAAACAGTTGATCTGCTTTAAGGCCAGCGTGACTTTCTTCTTAAGACCTCAGTCCTGCAAGGGTTCTGCTGCCAGTTAATTCACTGTAATACACTGGTCATTGTAAACTCTCCAAAGGATCGGACTCCAGGTGGCTGAAGTAGGAGGAATCATGTGAAGCTGCACTGCCTCTAGGAAGCTGAAAATGTACCATGTTGTAAGAGTACAGAGGCTTACCTTCCAGCAGCATCAAATTCCTAGCTGGAATGCTGTAAGAATCTAGATTCTCTGCTCAGAAACTTGTTAACAGAGACTTTCTGGAACTAAGCCTAATTTCAACTAGTCATTTAGGTTGAAACCCTTGAGACAGAGATAAGCTCTGATCTCTCTAAAACAGGTTTCAAAGCTGTAAGAAACGATAAAAAGCGTAACATGCACCAAATTAATCACAAAGAGCAAGACTACATTATTTAGGACAGATTATTCTAGAATATTAAAACATTTTTACTTTCAAGTGGGTAATGTTGTTACTACTCAAGTGGCCTTCATTTAGCTTTATCATTTACACTTCTCTGCAAAGAAGAGAAAGACAATACCACCTTTCTGTTTGTAGGCAGAGCCTGATGTTACTGTTCTGAGCTTCCTACTCTTCTGGAAGGCTTCCTTTGCAACTCAAGGAACTCAAGAAAGATTTTCAGGATATTTAAACACGCAGAGAATAGCAGAGCCATCTCACATACAAACTCTGTATGTGAGGTTTGACAAGCACTGATGTGATCTATGAGGTGTCGGAGGATTTCTGTAGGTTTTGCATTTGCCTAGAATAAAAACAAAGAAAGCAAAAGGATTTGAATGATTATTGGAAATCTAGACTGTGATTTTTTTATTAACAGTTCAACACAGCTGCCTCAGGTAAATCATTTAAGTGACCTGTGCAGACAGGAGGTGCTTTCCTGGAATCAGCAGGTGGTCACTGACTCACCTAAGGAGGCTAAATCAAGAAATACCTCATTTGTGGTCAAACAATACCAAGGAATCAGCTAGTTTTTAGGTGCTGGAGGATAAATTTGCCAAGAATGTGATTTTTCTGCCCAAATTTTTACTGGGAAAGAAGGTAACAAAACCAGCAGGATACATCTGTGTTAAAACAAGTTGAAAGAGAAAACACTGATTTCAGAACTTTCACAGGCCTGTAATGAGATTCATCTCCCCTAAATAGATACTCCAAGTGTAAATGCGTACATGTAAGCTAGTCATCATGTTTGGGTTTTTTATTATTGTTGTCAAGAGATAAAAACACATCTAGGGTGCAATTCAACTACTTTTAGACGTCTGCTCTCAGATGAGAGGGACGGGTCTCTATAGACGTGCCTCTGCTGCTGTCAGGGATCGGCTTCACTGCAGACATCTGAACTTACATCAGATCCCACCCCGGCGGGCTCCTGCCAAAGTTACGTCAGACACTGCACAGGCTCTGTTTGCATTACTAGGGCTGTCGAAATGCATTCGGCCGGGCACAACCTCTGCATTTCTCCCTGGGGGATGGAAATCAACAGAGGAAACAGTCAAACTGGCGAGAGCAGAGTTAACACCCCGCGGTGCAGCATCTCGCCCCAAGAGCGCCCTGGCCCCCAGCGGCACCTCTGCCTCGGGTGGAGGAGTGTTACCCCGAACTCCCAGCTGAAGTAAACCCGGCTGGCGGCCGAGGGGCGGTGCGGAGCCCGGGGGTTCAGGGCGGGGGGCGAGCGGGACGCACCTTCGCGCGGGGAAAG